GAGAGAGAGAGAGAGAGAGAGAGAGAGAGAGAGAGAGAGAGAGAGAGAATAAATATATAAATACAACTTGCTGAGTTCCTTTAATGTTGCTCTTACGTGTATGTGTTATGTGTTTAGGGCTGACTGCTCGGGGTTGGTAACCTGTCAGGGTTACTAAGCTGATTCTCCCTCCCTTCCTCAGCAGCCTCGGTTGCTGTAGCTCTTCCTCCAGGGCTGGGGCCCTGTGAGATTTCCACCATCCACACTGGCGTGTCAGTCGGCACTGCCATTCTCAGGTGTTACCTGGGTAACCATGCCCTGAGATGTCATGGGTGCAGCTTCACGTAGAGGGCACTGTCTCTCCGCAGACATCCTGCTTCTCTGGCTTGGAACATCTTTGCAGCCTCTTTCTGCGGTGTTGCTGAGCCTTGGCTGTAGGAGGTGTGTTGGTTGGAGATTGTCATTTTGAGCAGCTGTGGCTTTCTGTAACCGTCCGTGTGCTGCGGGAAGAAGCTTCTTTGGTGGGGTGAGAGCTGCCCGTCCTGTGGATATAAGGATGAGGATGTAGAAGAACTCAGCTGTGGTGGTTTAGGAAAGTGAGCTCTTCTCTGCGCTCCGTGGTTTCACCAGCCGTGAGCAGCTGCCCAGTTTGCAGGGCCGGGCACGCATCTTCTCTGGTTGAGGGGCTAAGCCCAGTAAGGTGGCTGTTGGTTACCCCGGGGTACATCCGTGCCATTATTGCACTTTTCAGAGTCGCTGCTGCTCCGGTCGTAGTTGTGGTTTGTAGGCTTTGCGGCTGAGTGTGACTGTTTATTGCTTTTCTCCCTTGGCGAAGGAGAAAACCTTTGGATGTTATGAGAGCTAGTCAGTCCTCTAGGAGGAGTCTTTCCGGTCCCTGCTAGTTCTGTTCTTCCATTCTCTGTCTGAAGTGTGTTTTGTCTTCAGCGAGAGAGTCTTACCTTCAGTTCTTATAAGCAACCAAGGGCCAAGGCAATAGCCTGTATGGTTTTGTGGGGGAGGTGGGGTCTTCTGCACTCCTGAGCAACAGCTCCAAAGGCATTTCCTATGCCTGGCACTGGGCTTTTGTTAGATAAACTATCACTCTTGGGGGAGCGTTCAACCCTAGTGGTGTAACTTCAGTAAATATGCACGCGCGCGCGCGCGCACATGCGCGCGCGCACACACACACACACACACACACACACACACGTTTTAAGTAAACATAAACTACTATGATTTGTATGGCTTTTTCAAGCATCTTGTGCGCTGCTTACCCTCTTCCCCAGGTAAGTCTTCCTCACAGCTTTTCCTGTTTCCCTTTCATAGCACCGTGTCCTGTTATCCCCTTCTCTATAACACCCTCCCCTCCTGCCAGGAACCTTTCCATGTTTCTGCAGTTACTCCAGGTTATATGCTCACATCTGAAGACCTGGAGCCAGGATCCATAAACAAGAGAGAACATGTGATGTTTGTCTTTCTGGGTCTGGGTTACCTCGCTCAGTAAAATGCTTTCTAGTTTCATCCATTTACCTGCGTATGACATGATTTCATTTTTCTTATAGCCGGATAGTATTCCATAGTGCATATATACACACATTTTCATTATTAATTCATCTGTTCAAGGACATTTACATTGTTTCTTACCTATTGTGAATAGAGCAACAGTTACTATGGCGGGGGAATTATCTGTGGAGTGGGATGCCCTTTAGACATATGCCAAGGAGCGCTATAGTTTAATTATATATATTTTAGATTAATTTTCGCTCTTTGAGGATTCTCCCCACTGATTGCCAGAGTGTCTAGACCAGTTTGCGTTCCCACTAACAGTGAACGGTCCTGCCCTCCACTCCTCCCCCTTCCTTGAGACATTTGTTGTCTGTTGTTTTGTTGATCTGTGCCATTCTGATTAGTGTAAGATAAAATCTCCAAGTTATTTTTATTTGCATTTCCCTAGTGGATAAGGATGATGAACACTTCTTGAAGTATATCTTAGCCACTTTTATTTCATCTGAGAACTCTCTGTCAGATTTCAAACCCATTTTTTTAATTGAATCATTTTTTTTCTTGACTGTTTGTTTTTGAGTTCTTTATATATTCTGGATATTAATCCTCTGTCAGACGTGTAGTTCACAGTCTTTCCCACTCTGTCGGTTCCTTTTCACTTGGCTGATTATTTCCTGTACAAAGGCCTTTTGGTTTTATGAGGTGCCACTTGTCAGTTGTGGCCTTAATTCCGTGGAAAATTGGTCCTGTTCAGGAAGTCCTTTCTGACACCTGTCATGTGGGGTTGTCTATGTTTTCTTCTGGCAGTTTCAGTGTCAGGTTTCACATTGAGGTCTTTGCTCCATTTGGAGTTAGTTTTTGTATAGGGTGGTAAATCTGGGCTTCATTTTATTCTGTGTGTGGATATCCAGTTCTCCCAGCATCTTTTGTTAAAGATGTTGTCTTTTCTCCCGTGTGTGGTTTTTGGCATCTTTGATAGACAGCAGACGGCTGTAGCTGTGTGGACTCATGTTTGGATCTTCTGTGTTGTTTAATTGGTACACATGTGTGTCTTGTGTGAGTGCCATACTGTTTTTATTGCTATAACTCTCTACTGTACCTTGAAATACGGAACGTCAAACCCTCCAGCATTGTGCTTTTTTCTCAGAACTGCTTTGGCTATCTGGGGTATTTTGTGGTTCCATATGAGCTTTAGGATGGTTTTGTTTTTGTGGTTCTTTTTTTCCCCATTTCTGCGAAGAACATTTCGGGTGTTTTGATTGGGGTAGCATTGGATCCGTAAATTCCTTTGGTAGAATGGTCATTTTACAGTATTCTGCCAATCCGTAAGTTGGAGGTCTTTCCATCTTCTAGTGTCTGCCTTAATCTCGTCAGAGATGTGAAGTCATTGGAGAGCCTTTGACTACCTGGGCCAGGTGTAGATGTTTCCTTTTCTCTGAGGCGCTTGAGAATTGTCATTCATTTCCTAGGCTTCATCTTGGAGAATGTTGTATAAGCCTTGATTGTTCATATGTCAAATGTTTTGTAGTTCTGCTACTGAAAAATCCATAGTGTAACTCAGTGGGGTTTGTTGTTGTTTGTTTATCAAGTTTATGTTGATAAATTTCCAAGAAGGAGGACTTTCTGGTAAGTGTCTGGTATGGAATGGAATGGAATCATTTTGTTGTGTAATGATGCTGTATGTTGATGAGTGGTCCAGTAATTCTGACCATTGGGCAGTTTGTATTTAATTGTGCGTTGAACTTTCAACTATTGGAAGGTTTTGTTTTGTTTCTGTTTGTTTTGACTTTCTTTAGTGTTCCTCTTTGGAGAGTATCATAAAATAATTTGGTTCTTTCCTGAATTTGAATTTTAGCTTGCTTTGTGTAATTAGACCTAAAATTAAGGCATCAGAATTCTAATTACTACGTACCTAGTTCTGAGTTTAGAAGGTTTAGAAGTTTTATATGTGTGTTTGGAATTGAAATCTGAGCTTTACTCTATCTAAATCTCCTTGTTGTTTTCCTCTGGACAGGAGAAGAGGCCTCGAAGTAAACTGCCCAGAGCCCTGAGAGGTCTCATGGGTGAAGCCAATATTCGCTTTGCTCGAGGAGAACATGAAGAGGCGATATTGATGTGCATGGAAATCATAAGACAAGGTGTTTTCTGCAGGGACTTTAATTGATAATAGCTAACTGGTTGACTTCTTTAGCAAATGGGAAGCATTTGATTGTGCTACTTATATAAAATACATTCAGAAGTCGAGGTGACTGTAATAGTAACCTGCTGCTTTTCACATTGGTAGGAGTTACTAGAAAATGGAGACCACGGGTGTGATTCAGTGAAAAATTAGTAATATCTTTTGAACTCTTTCTGGCCCCTCTCTCCCCTTTCAACTTTTCATTTTAGGAATTTTAGACTCTTATAGCATTAATCCCTTTTTGGGGGGAAGGGGGTTCCGAGACAGGGTTTCTCTGTGTAGTTTTGGTGCCTGTCCTGGATCTTGCTCTGTAGCCCAGGCTGGCCTCGAACTCACAGAGATCCACCTGACTGCCTCCCGAGTGCTGGGATTAAAGGCATGTTCCACCACCGCCCAGCTAGCATTAATCTTCTTAAATCAGCCAGTTTCTGTATCCATTAATCCATCTGTCTCTATTGTGTTGTGGTTGAATCCACACCTTTCTGCACTATGGGCAAGTGCTCTACCAACTGAGTTATACCCTCAGCCCTGTTTATTTTTATATATATTTTAGTGGTGAGTGTATTGTTAGAATCACTTGAAGAACATTCTGATAAATTTCAGAATTTTTGATATTGTTACTGATTTTTGTTCATTTTCTAGATTAGGCATTGCTAAATTATTTTAATCTATATTTTTGTAAAGATACATTTAGGTTTGTCATTTTATCTCCATTAGTTGGTACACCTTAGATATGTTGGAGGACGTCTTCAGTAGTGATAGTGACCAGTTGCTTGTATCACACCTTAGATATGTTTGTTGGAGGACGTCTTCAGTAGTGATTGTGACCAGTCGCTTGTATCACACCTTAGATATGTTGGAAGACATCTTCAGTAGTGATTTGTGACCAGTTGCTTCTGTCACATCACTTTTTTGGTTGCTATCAATTTGCCTTGCGGAGTGCCTTGGGTAGTTGTTACACTGCTAATACATTCATTCAGTGTTGTGGCATTTCCTTTTAGTTAGACTTGGTCCTTTTAGAAGTCTTACTATAATCCAGGATTACTCATTAGGGTAACTTGTGGCTACTACGTATTTCCTCAGTCCATCAGAAATAAAATTAGCCAAGCATTTCTGTAGGATGTATTATTGCTTAGTTCTTGTTTTCCAATATTATTTATTTCAGCTTATAACTGTTTATTTTGGAAGCACTTTGACTTTAATGTGCAGCAGTTTTTGAGATTTTTTTTCCCATAAATAATATTTTAGAAATATAGATTAACCGTTACATTTGACATCCTAGACTAAGGTTCTGTTTGGGTACCCTGTGTGCGTTCATCCTCTATGATGCAGGAGTGTGAAATAGTGCAAGTTCGACCACACTGATGTGACTGATGCTTCCTGGGTGAAATCCCCAAGTTTTTAGGCCATATTTGGCCTTAGTATAAAGAGATTTTCACAAGGAAGGTGTGGTAGAAGGGAGGGTTTTCATGAAATTGTATTTTGTTAAAGGAAATAATGCTTTAAGAATGATGTTAGGTATGATGGTGCTTGCTTTGAATTTCTAGAACTGGGGAGGCTATCGGGGATCTCAGGTTGATGACCAGCCTGGTCTACACAGTCAATTCATGTTTGTGACCAGCATGGTCTACACAGTCAGTTGAGGTCAGCCTGACCTCAGTAGCAAGAGTCCACCTCAAATGTAAATCAATAATAATGTCTAAAAGTGTTTGAAAATAAAGTATAATATAGTGTTTTGCATTTTTCAAGTTTCTGTTGAATAGTTTTTATAATTCTGTTGGAATGAGTTTAGATACTAGAAAAAAAAATCTGCACTTGGAACTGTAGCATCAATATCAGCTTTGGCTTATTCCTTTAGCCAATGAAATTTCTTTTGTTATTTTTCTTATTATAGCTCCTTTGGCTTATGAGCCATTCTCTACACTTGCCATGATATACGAGGACCAAGGTGACATGGAGAAGTCACTGCAGTTTGAGTTGATTGCTGCACATTTAAACCCCAGCGACACAGAAGAGTGGGTTAGGCTGGCAGAAATGTCTCTGGAACAAGACAATATCAAGCAGGCTATTTTTTGCTATACAAAAGGTAATGACATTTTTCTTGTGTAGATGGGAAGATTGTTTTTTTGTTTTGTTTCATTAGGCGTTATATGATGGGTCATTAATGCATTTGTTTTTTTTTGTGTGTGTGTTTTGTTAGCTCAAGTATATTTGTTTGTTTCTTTCTTTTTTTAAATTAAATTGTTTTGAGAACTTTATACATGAGGACTGTGTCTCGGTCGCTCCTGCCTTCCCTCTCCCCTCCAGTCCCACTCATGTCACCCTCTAAATTCATGCTCACCTGTTTATTAGAGTGTGTGTGTGTACGTAAAGGTATATGTATAACCTGCTAAATCCATTTGGCTTCCCTTACATGTGTTTGTGTCCAGGGCTAACCACTTAGGATAGGAAAATAGCTCCCTCCTCCCTGGAGGAGACAGATTCTCTCTCTCAGTATCCATTGGTCACCTGTAGATCTTCTAGGTGGGACCATGTGGAATTTTCCTTCCTTCTCCATGTTGGCATATCACCTAGTGGTGTCATTATGCTAGTCCTGTTCAGGAAACCGGGGTGCACTCTCCACGTCATCGTGTCTGGGGACACTATCTCACACCAGTTACAGTCTTTCCGCCTCATCTTCTGTGATCTCCGAGGAGGCTGAGGTGGACAGGTTGTGTTGCCAGCACTATAAGTTACGTGACAGCTGTTTCTTGCGTTTGTTGGCTTGTGCTCCTTGCCCAGATGTGTTTGTTCCTTACAGTCTGTCACGGCGTGCGTCTGGAGCCCCTCCGTCCTCATGTTCATCTGTGGCTTACTTTACATTGTGTTGAATACAGCACAGAATTGGAGAGTCCCACCGAGCTCAGTGTTGCTTTCAGGCCGTTAACTTTTGTGACTTGAGTGACCAGATGAGGATTACTGTAGAAAGTCCAGTCTGGTCTTAGACCAAGCCCAGTCAAGAGTTCTTGTGAAGATAGATTTATTCCAGAATTATTTTCTTGTTTCCAATGGGAAAGTGTTTATTACATTTTTGAGGTAAGTCACACCTCTTTTGATAAATAGTAATTTTTTATTCTTCTTTTCTTTCTAGCTCTTAAATATGAACCTACTAACGTTCGTTACCTGTGGGAGAGATCAAGCCTGTATGAACAGATGGGTGATCATAAAATGGCCATGGATGGCTATAGGCGTATTTTAAATCTTTTGTCTCCATCTGATGGAGAACGTTTTATGCAGTTGGCTAGAGATATGGCAAAGTAAGTTTGAAGTGAAACACACACACACAAACACACGCCTTAATTAGTCATTTTGCAAATCAAAGCTATGTAAAATAGAATGTATTTTTGCATTGAGGTTCAAAGAAAATTTTTGTTTTCTGTATTTTATATTTGATCAATTATAGCATTTTTTTATTTAGTGATTTTTGGTTTCCAAGTCAACTGTGTGATTGCTTAGAAAGTTTTGTATGTGAGATTGCATTTCTAGGACTCAGAAGCTGAAAAGTGAGGTGTTTTCTGCAAGGGGGTTGGACTCCAGGTTTCTGTGACTTAGTTGAAGTTGTATGTATTTGTGATTTTTTTAAATAAGATTTTTTTATTGCAGATGTGTCATTGAAATCTTTGTGGTCTGCAGTCTTCTGTAATCATCTTGAGTCAGCGCTGGAATAGTAGGCTTCATGTTGACCTGCCGCTGACACTGGCTCTTTCTTTAGAACCCACAGCATTTACTTGTCCTGCTGGGTTAGGAAGCAGAACAGAGCAGGAAGCATTTGGCGAAGTGGCGTTTCCTGCTGCTCTTTCTGTTTGAAGAGCACAGTGCAGCATTTCATCCTGGGCTTAACTGTCTCCATTTTGGCATATTAGGATTGACCTGTTAGTCCTTTGCCTTGCGTTCTGATGCTGTGTAGCTGTGGACTGCCCATCACCCTCTCAGGACAGTTATACAGGAGCAGTAGATAAGTTTTTACAAGTTCAGTCAGGGAAGCAACTTTAGATTGATGGCTGATGCTATGTCGTGGGCACAGAGGGTCTTGCCAGATTAGCTGCAGCTCATTTTGCAGCTACTAGAGTGCTTAGTCTAATGGACCTGAGGAGCATTGGGTGTCTCGTAATGACCAGCTTGGTTTTCACGTGTGTTATATGTGGAGTGTGGCAATGGCCAGTTGATTGATTTGACTTTGCTTTGGTCCTCATTTGCCCTCCAGAAATACTCATTGACTATATCTTCCATAGGCATGGTACAAGGAGCCAGGATGACCACTATCAAGCAACTATTAAAAGTTCTCTGCCCTCCTGAGTCTGTAGCCCTCTGAGGGGAGATAGGCAGTGATCACATGACAGCCAGTTACTCAGTGTATCACATTGATCAGTGATGGAGAAAAATTACACAGGGAAGGTGATAGAAGTGTAAGGTATGGAGTGTGTTATTTTAAAGCAGTGTGAGTGAAGGACTCGGCTCCCCGCCTTCTGTGGTCCTCACTGAAGGGAGCTGGCGCTTAGGGAAGAGGACACAGGGATGTGCAGGGAACAAGAGGGAAGCTGATGTGTCAGGTGAGCACAGCTAGAGGTCCCAGAGGAGCAGAGCAGCGGGCCCGTGGGGGCTTTTACTCTAAATGAGTCTGGAAGGCACTGAAGGGTCTGAGGAGAAAGGGACATGATTTGACTTAACTTTTAAGTGCATCAATTTTGGTTGCTCTTTTGAGCAAAAATTGAAGAGTGGGAAGGGACAGACAATTACTGAAATGATACTTGGGAGGGAAATCATAGCTTGATCAGGGCAGAGACAGGAAATTACTGAAATGATACTTGGAAGGGAAAGTCAGAGCTTGATGGGGCAGAGACAGCAGAAGGCAGTAAGGTGACCAGATTCTGGATGTAACTGAAGAGTGTGGCTAGGGAGTGTGAGGCAGATGTGGGCCGTGTGCACGTGGGCTCGTGTGTATGGGGGGGAGGGATGGAAGAACGGATGGTGAAAGAAGAAAGCTCGGAGGAAGGACCGACTCCCGAGTCACTCCAGCGTTTAGACGCCGGGGAAAAGAGGAGGCAGGCCGCAGACGAGAAGAAAATGCCCAGTGCGGGGAAGAAGCAAAGAACGGGGCATGCTAGATTCACTGAAGAAAGCACTCCAGTGAGGCGGGTGGTCGTCCTTGGGAAGCTTGGCAGACAGGTCCCATGGAGCAGGAACTGAGGCAAGCTGCCTGGAGATCTTTGGCGGCGAGGTAGTGTTGGCATAGTGGGCGCCTAGGTCAGGCGCTTCTCGCTTCTTAGTCTCTAATCCAGAGAATTGAAAGGAAGAGTCCACACAGCAGCAGGGAGCTTTTTCAAAAGAAAAACAAAATACAGATCGGAAAGAAACTGCAGGCCACACGACTGGGAGAGTATTCACCTGCCCAGGTTTCCCTCTGGGGTTCAGGAGGAGTTTGATTGTTTCGGTTGTGAAAGGCCATAGTCGGACAGTTCTCTGTTGTGACTGATAGATTAGGTGACGTATTCATCGTATTCACTTTCTTACTGCACATGTCCCTTCCCATAATGCATCTGATTTTAATCCTGTACACACCCAGTTATGCATAAGGCTAAGATGGTAAATCGGGGATTCTCCCTAAAAATGTCCTGGAGGACCCTTGCCCTACTGCACATGCACCCAGTTGAATACAGAAGGCAAAGAGGATGGGACCTAAACCATTTTATGACATTGGTTGAATTGGTTTTCCTTGTTTGTAAGATTGTGAATACTAGGTGATCTGGTTTCCAGGCCTTTTAAAATCAGTAAGTGTGGAAGACTGGCCTGCCGTGTGTCAGACTTTTCTCCTGCAAAGAATGAGAACTCAGCATTGGTGGCATTCATAGTTCTTAGACAGATTTTTTTCTTATAGCAATGATGTCATTATCAAAGGCGCTAAGAAGGAGACCTAGAGATGAAGAAACTGGAGATGACTCAGGTTGTCATGAAGAGATTCACTTCTCTTCACTGGAGTGGCAGGGTCAGGGTGTTGGGGTCATTTGATGGAGGGCTGTATCTGTGCACTAATTTACTTTCTGGTGTTCATTATACAGCCTGCTGAAAGAACGTAATTCTGTTCTTGGGGCTACCTCCTTTTTCACAAATGCCCTTTTAACAAAACTAGGTTAGTCATGTCCTAGTTGCTGTGAGTGTGTATTTCTGAATTTAAAAATTAGTGTTACTGTGCTTTAGGTAACTAGAAAGTCTTACAGGCTCTCCTCACCTATGCCCTCTATCACTGCTAGGCTGTGCTAAAACAGTGGCTTACGATATAGGCGAGGTGGCAGTGGACACTGTCGTCGTATTGACTCTAGACCTTTTCCTGCCCTGACATCAACCTCTCTCTCTATGGCGCTCGGTACCAGCCTATCACTGACAAGTTTGAAAATGTAAACTATAGTGTGTGTACGTTTTAGAATTCAGAGCAATACATACTTTTTTATAATTGAAGTTAACGAAAAGAATGAGAAAATGAATCTGTTACCATAAATCTATAAAACTTCCTAAGCAAAAGTAAAATGACACAAAGCTAGAGAGTGAAATTGTGTGTCACTCACAAGTGGAGTAGTTTTAGTAATTAACAAATCAAGGAAGTGCTCAGGCTGGATCAACCCGTCCAGTCTGCCCTGGAAACACGGGAAAACTGAAATGATCTGAGTGTGACTGTTGCTGGGGAGGAGGAATGCACCCCAGAAAAGTTGGTGCCAGTTTTTTATGTTGGGAATGAATTGGAAGTAGCTTTTGAAAGTGAGATACTTGAAATTACAACATTGTCAATATATCGTGAAACTGTATGTTTTTCTCTGCATCAGCTCTGATCATGACTATATATTTTTACAAATAGAATATTTTTTCACTATTTAAAAAACCTAAAATTATGCAGATTCTTGGAGTAGGGAATTATCTCAATGGTACTGTGCTTGCCTAGAATGTACAAGAGCCTGGGTTTGATCTAGGCACTAAATAAAACAAAACCAACAACAAAAATCCAGGGTTTTGGACCTGTTCCATCAGCTTATTTAACAAGAGTACACCTTGTCACAGTTAACTCCCAGGTGAAGCCTCCTGAGTGTTCCCATTCCAAATTGAGCTTTTAAAGCGTTTTCACTTTTCTAACAAAGACATCCTGAGGGAGATAATGTGTTTTAGAGTCAGAATCAACTGTTCCTTCACTTGCCTCTCACCTTTTTAGGAGTTACTATGAAGCCAATGACAGTACTTCAGCTATAAACATAATCGAGGAAGCCTTCTCCAAACACCAGGGCTTAGTCTCCATGGAGGATGTTAACATCGCAGCTGAGTTATATATCTCCAACAAGCAGTATGACAAAGCTTTGGAGGTAGGATGCTCACGTGCGACTCCTTTAGGATTAGACCTGTGCTTATGTTGCAGAAATGCTTAGAAATTAGCATCTTGTCATTTTGGTTATATTCTAAATTGCATATTTAAACTATGTAGAAATAATAGATTTCTGGATTCTGTGTGAAATACAGACTGTAATTATATGATAAATGATGTTGCCACTATAAAGCCTATCTACACTCTATGGTAGCAGGACTCACCAGAGCCATATCTGTTGGAGAAAGGAGGTTGGTTTGCAGTTGAACTGATAAATCTTTGGTTTAGTCAATATGATGTAATAATGTTAATATTCTATAGTTAGAATTTCTTATTTCAAAAAGATTCTTCTTTAATACCATTTTATATTGTAAGGACTATTAGAAATAAATACTCACAAAAAGGTTTTTATACATAGCTTTTATTTCTCCTTTTTTTCCATTTTTTTAGGTAATTACAGATTTTTCTGGAATTGTCCTAGAGAAGGAAACTGTGGAAGAAGGCACCTCAGAAGAGAATAAAGGTTGTAGTTAACTTCACGTAGGGACCCTGCAGAACCCTCTTGTTAGATGTAATGTTCTCGTCATGTCCACCGCAGGAGTCCGGCTTCTTATATTGGCTTTTATGAAATCTTCTTTTCTGTTTGCAATGCTAGGGTCAAACCCAGGGCCTGTGCATGAAGGACAAACACTCGGCACTGAGATATATTGCTAGACCTTGGTTTATAAGCAATTTTAAAATATGTCTTGAGTTCCTTTATTAATATGCCCATTTGAACTTCCTACTTCTCTTAACTTTTGTTTTATTCTATTTTGTCTGTCTCTTTTTGAGATAGGATCTTACTCTGTAGCCTAACCTGGAACTTACCATGTAGCCCAGGCTGGCCTCAAACTCATGGCAATCCTCCTGCCTCAGCCTCCAGAGTGCTATGGTTACAGGTAAGCAACACCATACCTAGCCAAACATAATTTTTTAGAAGAAAAAAGTCTAAACCAAAAATCATGGCTAGGCTAGGCACGGTGACACAATTCTGGCACTTGGAAGGCAGAGGCATGACAATTCTGAGTTTGAGGCTAGCAAGAGCTACACAGCAAGAACCTGTCCTAAAAAAAGACAGACAGAAAAAGAAGGGGACAGAGGGAGGAAGGAAGGAAGAGAAAGAGGAAAGAAAGAAAGAAAGAAAAGAGAAGGAAAAGTATGGCTGTAAAATAACGGGTGTCGGTCTCAGCTCTGTGTGGCATACGGAAACTAGCAGTGAGCCCTTTAGCTGCCCAGACTCCGTCTTCCTTCCCGCCATCCTTAGCGCCTGCTGCCTCATTCATCTCTCAGGCACCGACCCCAGCAAAGACCACGACCTGTGCAGAGTGCGCAGGCCCTGCACCTGACCTCACTACCACAGCCTCCTCTCTCCTCAGAGCAGCAGTTTCTACAGAAACTGTCTCACCATTGCAGTCCTCCCGCCCCAGCCTTCACATGCTCGGATCACAGGTGTGCATCACCGCACTCAGCTCCTATTGATTCTTAGAAGAAAAGGAGTGAGTTACTGAGTAGATCGCTCCTTAGATCCAGAGCAGTTTACTTTCCCCCAGGGCTTTAAGTGATCGACTGTTGAAAACTCTAAGACTTAGTATTCACATAAAAAGGAGGGACTGGTGTGATTATCCTACCATGTGTGAAAGCTCAGATGTATAATCACGGTCTGAGTAGACAGCCGTACCTGAAGTGTGCCTTCGAGTCTCTTCTAGCTCCTGCCTGGTCTTTGCACCACACCCATTGACCTAGTCTAAGAAAATGTTAACATGTATGACTTAGCCTCCAAGGTGGGACACACTTGTCATTTGGGGTCATAGTGTGTGTCCTTACTCCTGTGAGAGAGTCCCTGTGTAGTAGTTTTCATCCTTATCTCGAGAGGATTTTGGTGGGAGTTATGGGAAGTGAGTTGATGCCAAGTACTATCTGCTTCAGATAGCTTTCTGTGTATTTCATTAAATAGTTATTTGGGCTGCTATATCAAAACACTTTAGACTTGGTGATCTACAGACAGAAATTTCTAGAGGCTTGGAAGTTGAAGACCAAGGCAGCAAAGGTTTGATACAGTACCATCTGTGTGTCCTCATGTGGGAGACAGACACACAGAACTCCTTTAGACCTCTTTATAAAGACGTGAATCCTCATCCTGAGGGCAGAGCTCTTGTGACCTTACCTTCCAGAGACCTTACCTCTTAATGCCATCATATACTATACCATGTGTTGGGGATATAAACATTCAGACCATGTTAAACAATAAACCAAAATGCTAGTATTTGGGATATAAAACCTAGATCTAAGAAGAAACCTATTTAGAAGTCACAATGTCATTACAGTGACCGTATTGGTTAGTACTTTTGTAGGTGGGTGACCACAGATACAGTCTTCAGAAGAAGTATGCTGTAGGTACTGCCTTTAGTCAAGTAGACTTGACATGTGTCCTTAGGGAGCCTAGGTCTTGAGAGAGTAAAATGTCATGGTAGGAAAATTGTGTAGAATAAATATGAAAGTTAAATTTGTGTTATCAGTTACTATCATGGTGTTCATTGTTAAAACAGTCTCATAATGAAATCATATTCCTATGATTGGTTAGCTCAGACAATTAACGGCAAATTCTGTAAAACGGATGAGATTATTTAATTTGTAAGTAACTTAAATTTGAGTCTACCACTAAAGGCACATCACTAATATCATGTACAGTTTATGAAATAGAAACAAACTGAATTGTAATTTAATGTGCAAAATATGAAATATAGAATTCCTTTAATTTCCCAGAATTTTAAAAGTTGTTTTGCTATAATGAAGTTTTAGAAAGCAGAAAAGTATTTAGCCCCTTTTATAAATCTCTCAAGTAAAGTCTTAAGTGAAGCTTTTGAATTCAAGAATTTAAAAAGAGGTTTCATATATCCTGGTCATTTTTTATTTTTAATCCTCTGTCGTCTGGTAAAAGGTATGGAAATTTGTGTTTGTCTGAAATAAGTTGATGTTAGGAAAAAGGCAGGCTAAAGTGCAAACAAAAGACAGACTGAAGGAGGTCAGAAGCTGCTAACAGAGTTGACTAGAATAGCATTGACTGGGATCTTCCCTTAGAGATGTTGGAAACTGGCTCTTGGGTGCAGGCTGGAGTTGCCTTAGGGTGCTCTACGTCCTGAGCTTGCACATAGGAATGCCTTTCTGATGTTCCCCAGCTGCGGAGACCGTCACCTGCTCTATACCTGATAGTGTGCCCATAGACATCACGGTGAAGCTGATGGTGTGCCTGGTGCATCTCAACATCCTCGAGCCACTCAATGTAAGTAGCACCGGGAACTGTGCCTGCCTAAGCAGTAGGATCCTTCCCGCTGAGTCCACTCTCTGCAGATGACCAGACATTGTAACTTGACTTTAGATTGTTACATTTCTTACAACGGGGAAGACACAGTAAACATCAACTTTTCACCAGTAAAACACAGTAAAAATCAAAATTTCATAGGAATGGCTCATAAAAACAAAGTGTTTTGGAATTGGACTTGCAATAATTTTCTTTTAAAGTGAGAACAATCCAAAGATCAGAAGTTGTGATTAGCCTTTAGGCAGTCTCTATAGTTGCTAGATCTCCTCTCTCTTTGTGACTTGGGAACAAGTATTTTATTGAATAAAAAATGTACTGGGCATCTGCTTTGTTGATCAAACCTTCTCTTCAGGGATGGATCTTTTGTTCTAAGGGATTAAATCTGTAAGTTATCGGTTGGTGAAAAGTGTTCTAAAGAAAAGCAATATACAGAATGTAGGAATGGGAGAAAGCTGTACGTTTTTTAGTAGACGGGTCCCCTGAGAAGGTGACGTTTGAGTAAAAACTGACAGAGTAGCCTTTCAGGCATCAGCAAACACATGGAGCCAAAGGCACCGGCTTGTTGGGCTGGAGAGAGAAAACTACCAGTGCTTTCTAGCTGCTGCACATGTCGATGAAGGAAGGAATGAGTAAAGAAATGGTGGAAGTCTGAATCTTTTTAATAGACTTGCAGAAAAGAGCAGAAAATGACCACCAAGCCGTTAGTTTTGTTAGTCCTCGCTGCTTTTCGGCTTATGTGGTATAGCTGGTACAGAGATGTGGCTGGTAGTGATGAATGTTTGACCTCGGGTTTTATTTGGGTTTAGCCTCTCTTGACAACGCTGGTGGAACAGAATCCTGAAGATATGGGCGACCTCTACCTTGATGTTGCTGAAGCTTTTCTGGATGTTGGTGAATATAATTCGGCGCTTCCCCTGCTCAGCGCGCTGGTCTGTTCTGAGAGGTACAACCTGGCAGTGGTTTGGCTCCGGCATGCAGGTAACACTCTGCTGGGGAGGAAACAGTTTTAATCATACAGTCAGGCTGGCCTTTATATTCCCAGCACGGCAGTCATTATAACACAGTAGACTTGGTGCAAGTGTTTCCGGCTTCGTGTGGCTGGAAGATTAGGATTGCAGGAGTCTTGCTAGATTACTAAGTGTCAACATCCTGGAGCCCATTCCGTATGGGATATTAGGCTCTACTCCTCACGTAAGTGACATTAAGATACTTGAGGTCCAAGCCACAGTGTTCTCTCTAGAGGACAGTGAGTTTACTCGATGTGGACTTTGCTGCACATCCTAGGGTGATAACAGAAAAGCTGACATGCCCCTTAAATACCCTCTTTGACTTATTGTAACATACATTATAGAACGGTATTATCAGATGGGCAAAATTATTTTTAAAGAGTTTTAGGCCAGGCGGTGGTGGCGCACGCCTTTAATCCCAGCACTTGGGAGGCAGAGGCAGGCGGATCTCTGTGAGTTCGAGGCCAGCCCGGACTACCAAGTGAGTGCCAGGAAAGGCGCAAAGCTACACAGAGAAACCCTGTCTCGAAAAAAAAAAAAAAAAAAGAGTTTTTATAAATGTATGTTTAATGTTGTTTTGAGAGAAAATAATGTGCTTTTCTGTGCTATTTGAGCCACACATGCTCAAGATTAACCTATTAATCATTTTGTTTTATTGTGTTTTAAGTCCATGGTAGTCTGAAACTAAATCATTCAGAGTAAGAGAAAACAGCTTAAAGCAACCAAATCTCTTAGACACATAAAAATAAAAGATAGTCTGATAGGTTGTCTTAAAGAAAAGAGATTTTTTTAGTGCTGGGTCTGGTGGTGCACACCTGGGAAGCAAAGGCAGGCAGATTTCTGTTGAGTTCGAGGCCAGTCAGGGCTACATAGTGAGAACCTGTCTCAAACAAACAGACAGACAAAATAAACCCCCAAAAGAAAAACAAAAGACATTAACTGAACAGTTTTCATTTAATATATTATATGTTAGAAAGTTGTTAAAATTATTTGAGAGAAGAAAGTCCTCTATAGCCAGAGAAGAACTACTTGACACGTTGGGACAGGAGCTCCATCACAGGCAGGATCTAGGAAAACTCCTTTCACTATTAAGAGAACATTTTTCTGTTTTGAAGAGTAAACATGAATATAATTGTAATACCTTTATACAGAGTTACCTTTGTGGGATTTGTAGAGAGAGGAGCCAGGGTTACCCAGAGTATGGGTGTGCATTGCCCTCTGAAGGCCGTGGTACTGGGACTGCTCCTCTGTGTTTATTAGTAGACACTTAGAAATCCTTTATGATTCAGATTCGGATCATTGCTGCTTCCGTTTTGAATCCATGTAGCTTGAAATGAGTGAATTGTATTCGTCAATTGAATTGTAGTGGAAACTAAAACTTCAGAGTCATCTTAAAAATCAGGAAGGACCATCAAAGGAATTTAATAGCTGTGGCATTACATGAAATAAATATGAGGTGCCATTACAATGATCTATTCATATTACTCTTCTAATTTGTTTTCAAGATTTAGCCTAATGTAGTGGCCAGGAGACATTTGAAGAAGCACTTTGAGGTGAGATATTTAGGAGGCTGTTACAAAGGAAAGGGCATGTGAGAAGATCCAGCTGGTGTAGGAGCTTCCAGAGTGGAGAGAGGAAGTGCGTATCAGGACGCGCCTCCAAGTTCAAATGATTTAACTTAGTGGTTCATTGAGGAATTTTACTTCTGAGGACTCGTTTTGAGGAGTGGGAGAGTGTTGATATTGGGGGTTTACAAACTGGGGAGCCCAGTAACAATGTGAGTGAAGTGGATATGTGGGAGGTGGGAGGGATGAGAACTGGAGAGTCACATCTCCGTGGGTTCGTGATGCCATGTGAGAGGAGGGAGCTAGCTTGCTGTTGCCAATTAGAAGAAGCCAGTACCTGGATTTTATAAAATGCTAATTTCAAAATATGTAGACAGTTAATGCCATATAAACATGTCTGTGGATTAAGTTGGGCCTCCCAGTCATGAAGTCTCGATATGTTGAGATGTTTCCTGTGGTGTGACCAGAGTGTTTGTTTGGAAACAAGCCCTGTATCAGTAATTATGATTGGTTATTATATAACATTCAGAATGCCAGTGAAGGCCTGGGGAATGCTTAAACCATGGCATAAGTGAGTAGAGACAGCAAATTGAGTACAGACTCTGACTGCATCCTTGCGGCTGTTTAAATCTGATGGGCAGGGCTGGGATCCAGCTCATCACGCAGAGTGCTTGCCTGGCGTGCATGAGGCTTGGCTGTGATCTCTAGAAGCACCAGGGATAGGGTCAGTCGATTGATCAGTTAACAGAGGAGGAGTGGAGGGAGGGGAGGCTGTAGGTGGGGTGTATTGTTCGAGAAAAGAATACATTTTAAAAAAGAAGAAAAAAGTGCTAACAATACATATCCATTCCACTGTTGCTCTAACAACAGATCTTTAAAATGTCAAACCCTGCCAGCTGGGGAAGTGTAAATGGGTAACCCCAGGCTCAGGAGGCTGGTGCAAGAGGATTGTAGACTTGAGAGCGGCCTCCACCACACAGTCAGACTCTGTCTCAAAAAGTAAAGTAAAAAAGTATGTTACTAATTAAATTTGAAAGAAGTAGTTTTGTCCAGTTTGCAGCTCAAGAATTGAACACCTTTTCTCTTCCCACCCTAGAATGTTTAAAGGCCTTGGGCTACATGGAACGGGCCGCTGAAAGCTACAGTAAGGTGGTTGACCTGGCCCCGCTCCATCTCGATGCAAGGATCTCACTTTCTATCCTGCAGCAGCAGCTAGGCCGTCCTGAGAAAGCTCTGGAAGCTCTGGAGCCCATGTATGACCCAGATACTTTAGCCCAGGATGCCAATGCCGCACAGCAGGTAGGCCACCTCACGGGGGTGCTTCTCTGGGTGCTTCCTCCTCAGCTGTAGATCATTTGCCTGTTTTTATAGTTACTGCCAAAGTTTTTGTTCAGTGTGTTAATTTAGTGGAATTTGTTTGTTTTTGACGTGTGTGCTGTTATGTACTAGTAGCATGAGTATGTGCATGTGTGGAGGTCAGAGACAGATGACATGTGTTGTATGTTCTAGTTAGTGTGTGTGTGCATGTTTGGAGGTCAGCGGCAGACATCGGGTATCTTTCCTAGATTTCTCTCCGCATACACTGATTTATTCATCTATTTATTGAGATAGTCTCTCACTGAACTTGAAGCTCATTGATTTGGCTGGCCAGGGAGCTTCAGGGACCCCCTGTCTCTGCACCCCCAGTGCTGTGGTGAGCCACTTGCCTGGCTTTTTATCCGTTAAGTTCTGGAGTCTGAACTCAGGTCTTCATGCATATCTCCCTAGCCTCTAAGTTAAGTGGTTTTGAAAAATGAGTTAGTCTCAAATTTTAGTCATTTTTTTTTTAATTTTTTTATTTTTTATTTTATTTTATTTTTTTAGGTGGCTGGAGAGACAGCCGTGGGTGCTGGGAACCGAACTCATGTTTTTGGTTGTGAGCCTAGCCTTTAACGGCTGAGCCATCTCTCCAGCCCTAGTCATTTTTTATTAGATATAAATTATAGCTTCTAATGTATTAGATTTTGATTATTATGTCATAAAGCAAATGTTCGTAGAGTCTGGGTTCTAAAGAAACCGTATTTCTGCAAATCAAGCCATTTTCAGCAAAGACGCCTATCACTCGCTGTCATGTGCTGTTCCGTAGGAACTGAAGCTGCTCCTTCACCGCTCCACGCTGCTGTTCTCACAAGGCAAGATGTACGGCTACCTGGACACCTTGCTGACCATGCTCGCCATGCTTTTAAAGGTGGGCAGGGACTGTGCTTTCTAGTAGCCCGGCCTGGTTTTCAGATGTTTAAATTTTGATGTAAGCAGGATGATAGCTTTGTAATTGTTCTGTCTTAGACATTTTAAAGTGAAGGGCAGATGAGTCCAGAAGACTTAGAAATTAGTGATGTTACATGACTGGAGATTGACTCCAGGGCCGTGCACATGCTAGGCAAGTACTCACCCACTGAACTATAGTCCAGCTAAGATTGGAAGTTCTACCTGGTAATATAAGCTTGACTGGAGAAACAGTGAAGTGAAATCTTTAAATCTACTTACTTTGTAATATGAAAACTCTAGAATTACCAGTTATCAGCCCTGTATACTGTATTTAGTATGTACTAAAATGGTTCATTTTGCAAAACTTTTGTGCATTTTTGTGCATCCATTCTGAGTCTGTTTTTGCAGGGAAGTGGCCTGCATTCACTCACCCTCTCCTGCCCTGCATGTCATAGTAAATTGTCACTGTTCCCCTTGATATCAAAGGAATTTCAGTCACTACAGACATGCTAAGAAAAATCAATTCATTCTACTTTTAGGCATTTAAAAGATAGAGTAATTTGCTGGAGAGCTTTCAGTCTGGTTTGTGGTACTCAGGTCTTCAGTCTTACTGTATAAATTATTGGCTAAGAAGCATCTCATCATCTTTTATTCAGGTTGCGATGAATAGAGCCCAAGTTTGTTTGATATCCAGCTCCAAATCTGGAGAAAGGCATCTCTACCTTATTAAAGTCTCAAGAGATAAAATCTCAGACAACAATGAGCAAGAAACATCCAATTATGATGCGAAAGGTAATTGCTTCATTTGCTTTATGTAAAAACTTGGCTGAATTGAAAAGGACTGGTGAAGTAATACCTGATAATAATCTAAATGAAATGAAAATTGTAATCTAAACCTGCCAGGTATAACCAACTCAATTCATGTTAAAAGGCTTAACTGTAAATACTTTCAGAAATTAAGAGGAAAATGCCCACTGAATCTTTCTCTGAAAAACATAAAGTAAAACAATTTTGACCTTTTAAGAAGAAAATTTGTGAAGATTAGATGCCAGTTACATTGGTTTTGTTGTGTTCAGTTCTTTTTTGACAAAGGAGGAGTCATAGAAACTATGAAAGAAAATTGCATTGACCCAGTCTAAGTCACAGGGTTTTAAAAGCACTGCGGATGTTTGAGGGAGGTGGTTACTCAGAGAAAGACCTTTAGAGATAAGACACAACTGGAAATGTCAGTCTGGCCAAACTCCGTCATTGTTAGCTGACACAGCATTGATTAAACTGTTAGTCTGCCTCGGGCTCCAGGGCCTATCCCGAGTCAAGAGCACTCAGCTGCCTGTGATCTAGGCTACAGATGCTCCTGAGCCCTGCTGTCTCTTCAGTTCGTGGATTCTGGGTTTATTCTAGAAACTTCTCTATGGCATGTAGTTTGGACATGTTTCCCTAAAGTATTTTTCTCCATGTAAAACCTACCTTTGTTCTTCCTCGTTTCCGGTCTGTTGGTTTTTCTTAGTTGGGTAAGGTTACTAACTTCATCTTAGTGGTGGTGACATCAGATTGGATGTGTGAGCTAAGCTTCTTTATGTTAGGTGCAGCTGTGTCGGGCTGGGGTCAGTCACAGGGTCTGGCACATGCTGAGCAGGTGTTCCACCCGAAGGAACCTCTCTGTCCTACATCAGCTCAGTACTCTGGTTTTTCATAGACCTTTCTTGTGTTGCCCTACTCGGAGAATGTGCAGTAGTCCACTGGATAGCAGCTGTGCCATTTATGAGGTCATTTCTTTCTGTTGTGGTGTAGGAATAGTAACGTAGAGTAAGCATCTTCATGAACAGATTTATCATGGTTTGGTGTGTAAGGTAGACTCCCAGGAGAGTAAGTGGTGGCTCAGACAGTACAGATCTGTTGGCCTCTCTCCCTCGCCCATTGTTCTGTTCCAGTGGTGGGGATGAACTGAGGGACCTTCACAGGCTAGGCAAGCACTGCAGTCAGCAGCCCTAGTCTTCTGTCCCTCCTCTCTTCGTCTACCCCCCATCTCTTCTCTTCCTGTTGACCTGCCCTCCTCCTGTGTGCCCTCCCTCCTCTAAATTGCTTTGGCTTGTCTTGAACTTGCTATGTAGCCCAGGCTGGCCTTCAGCTCTCGGCACCCTCCTGCTTCATTATCCTGAGTACTGACATTTACAGGTGTGCTCTACCATGTCTGGCTTGCTATTTTTTAAATGTAATTTTTTAAAGGAGACTTCTTATGGACAAATGAAAAGGAAGTTAAAGGCAGAGAAAATTGAGATTAGAAAAAGACCAAGAAACCCCAAATCTGTAAAGGGTGACAGTCGTTTTGCAGACATCAGAAGCTGTGTGGTCGGTCATCCATGGAGAAGACGCCTGTTCCCGCTGGAGCAGCGCGTGTCTGAGCTGAGACCAACAGAGGCACGTGGACCGTTGGCTGTGCAGGGAGTCAGGAGTGGGAGTTAACTGGACTGCTAGGTTGTTGGCCACGCAGAGTGGAAGGACAGAGGATGGAAGGCGTCCCCACAAGCAGCTCTCTGTCCTCACCTCTGTCAGCTTCTCCACGGGTTAGGACGTAGGACCCAGGCTCTGAAGGCTATCCGTGCACTCACCATGTGCACTTTTCTTTTCCAGGACTGCTGTTCCAGAACTAACAGTGTCCTGGTTGGTTTTCATTTGTCTCATTTTAGCAATATTTGCTGTACTCACAAGTGTCTTGCCAAAAGATGACTGGTGGAACCTTCTCTTGAAGGCCATATACACCTTGAGTGACTTATCCCGATTCCAGGAAGCTGAGTTGCTTGTAGATTCTTCACTGGAATATTACTCATTTTATGACGACAGACAAAAACGCAAAGAACTAGAATACTTCGGTCTGTCTGCTGCAATTCTGGACAAAAATTTCAGAAAGGCATATGACTATATCAGGTAACTTTCTAGTCGTAAATCATGTTTCAAAAATACTCATGTGTAGGTGTGTGTGCACTGTGCAGGATCCCCTGGAACTGGACTTGCACGTCCTGTGAGCCACCACGGGGGTGCTGGGCACTTGATCCTCTGCAGAAGCAGATGTGCTCTTAACCCCTGAGCCTGTCCCCAGCCCCTCCAGTCATATTTCAACTGTATTCTCTGATAGTTCATGTGCACTTGCGTGACGTAGGCCCTCCCTCACAGTCAAGAATTAGCAAGCTGTGTTGTTCTTAATGCTCCTGTGGTTTACTGGCTCAGTTCACAGGTGAGTCTTTGGTGTTCTTTCACGGGGTGATCTGGAGCTGGATGTCTCAGGTTCAGGTCCCCTGACACTTAACTTCCTGGTAATGTGACATCAGGCCAGTTACTTACCCTCTCCTTCCTCAGTGTCCCATTTGTAAAAGACATTGTACTTTTATCATTAGGGTTAAATGGCTTATCACATCTAAAGCCTTTAAACAGTGCCAGGCACACTGTATTAGTCAAAGCTTCTGGTCCTGTAGCTACAGTAAGCTGGAAGGCAGGTAAACCAAGCCGTTAAATGGTTTAGATTAAGAGGTTTGTTTTCTTTTTTTTAATCAAGAACAAGATAAAGAATTACTAACTTAAGAAGCATTTTCTAGGGGAAAAAAACCCAAAAAACTTTGATTGTAGAAGAGGTTTTGCTTGTTGGGGGACAGCACTAAAGAGTTTCATTCTTAAACTTCCCCATTTCTATTCTCATTCATTCTCATTCTCTCTCTCTCTCTCTCTCTCTCTCTCTCTCTCTCTCTCTCTCTCTCTCTCTCACATGCTTTCTGCTGTTTTAGGGTAATGGTAATGGAAAATGTCAATAAGCCCCAGCTGTGGAATATTTTCAATCAAGTTACCATGCACTCCCAAGATGTAAGACATCATCGCTTCTGCCTCCGTCTGATGCTGAAAAACCCGGATAATCATGCTCTGTGCGTTCTGAATGGACACAACGCATTCGTGTCCGGGAGCTTCAAACATGCTCTTGGTAAGTGTGCCGACACCAGACTGCCAGCGCCGTGGTTGAGGGCCGGGCTTCTGCTCTGGAGCAGGACTGCCTGGGTTTCAAATGTCCTCTTTCCCATTGCAAAGCAGTCTCTGCAACAGAGAGAAGGACCTGTCGTAGAGATGATCTGAACAGTAAATGAGTTAGTGTAAAGAAGTATTTAGAACAAAGTCTGCTATGTATAAGTGCTTCTAAGTAATCGTGAGAATGTTTGTTACTGTGTTTAAAGATCAAATCGGCCTAAGGTCAGCAGGTGTTCCTGCTTAGGGCTAGAAGTCATCAGCTGGCAGCAGTGTGCACACATGCACTTGCCCACGCAGACACCATCACACACCACACACACACATTCTCCCTTTACTTTGAAAAGAGATTTAAGGTCATAAAATAGATTATCACACTGCTAAATGATTTTAGAGTATTCTGTATAGAAATGTCTCTCTGCTTAAATTACTCCTAATTATTAAGATACACTTATGAGGATACTTCTAATAGTACTGTTGTACATTGCTATAAAGCTTAAACTAATGTGTGTGTGTGTATATCAGGTCTTTATACATTAAAATCAGTGGTGTTTGGTTTTAAAACCATTTGAGTGATGAGGAAAGGAGGAATCTATTCTTAGCACATTATTGTCTGGCCTCATCTCTCCAGGACAGTATGTACAAGCCTTCCGTGCCTACCCCAGTGAGCCCCTCTACAATCTCTGCATCGGCCTGACCTTCATCCACATGGCATCGCAGAAGTATGTGCTGAAGAGACACGCTCTGACTGTGCAGGTAATGAGTGAGCGTGGGTCCTGTCTTCTCAAAAGCCATGCCTGCTCGATACACATGTTGGGAGTACTCCACACTTACACTTGTGTCCCAGCTCATGGGACTCAGCATATTGTTATACTGAAGATTAAGGCTGATTTACAGCTGTGTGTGTGTGCATAGACAGTCAGATCATGGCAGGTACAGGTAAATATACAGGATTTTGATTCAGGTCCTTTTATACTATAGGACCTCAGGTAGTTGGAGCTCCCATAAAGATTCATTGATTCGTTTTGTGTGCCTACTCACATGTCTGTACAGGTCTGTACAGGCATCAACACACATTGGTGTGCATATGTGGAGGCCAGAGGTTGAATCAGATGTCTTACAGGCTTTCCGCTTCCTCTTCCACAATGCTCCCTGAGCCTTCAGAGTGTTTTGTAGATGTTTCCACTGGAATTAGGCTCCGTAACTCTGCATTTGTGGTTGTGTTTTTTTCTGGTGGTCTGTCTGTTGCAAAGAAAATGTTCCTTGACGAGAGGTGAAGACTGCACTTAGCTGTGGGGATAAGAGCCAGTGTTTAAAGGATTGTTGTTAGGGATGATGCTGGTGTAGTGAAGTAGTGGTTGTGGATTCTCCTCCGATAGCCATGACTTCACTGGCCGTGCTTTAGTAGCTAGCCAGGTTTCCAGCACCAGGCACGGCTCTCCTCTCGTGGAGTAGAGAGCTGTGGTGACTGCTGAGGGACGCCCCTGTAGGACTCTGCAGCCGTGTGGCCGTCATAGCTGTGTGGGATGGTGGTCGCCTCCCTCCTGGGGAAGCTTGCACAGTGCCCTCTGGTATGGAGCTGGTCCTCAGAGAGGGGGCATTCAGGTCGGTTCCAGCTCAGGGGTTTCTGGGGCCTTCATCAGTAGGGACTCACTTTCCATTTCTGGGGGCCACCAAGGGCGACAGCAATAGGCTGGGTGTTTGGGGGTCTCTTGGGCAGCCTAGGCCAGCAACTCAGAAGAGGTTTCTCATCTCTGGTGTTGGGTTTTTCAGTCTTTGGCTCTTCAAGGGAGCACCAGATAAGTTCATTAGAATTATATATGTGTATTTATACACAGAATTACAGGGGTTTTTAAGGCAAGTAGTTAAGTCTGTTTTCTTGTGTCTTTTTCAGACATTGTTATTTTACTTTCCTCCATTTCCTTTCAGCCCCAGAGCCTGTTAGTGCCTTTCCCGTCAGATCTCGTGTTCACGTATCCTCACTGTTCCTCTTTACCCTCCTCCTCCTCCTGTCCTCACCTCCTTCCCTCACCCGTCAGATCACGTGCTCCCGCTGTTTACTCCCTTCTCTACCGCTCACCCCCCCCCCCCCCCCCCCCCCCCCCCCCCCCCCCCCCCCCCCCCCCCGACAGTGGTCCCAATTGATTTTCCTGAGTTCTGTGGTTACTACAGGCTGACCTCATTTCTGAGGACAGAGCTCGGAGCCTCCAGCGATCGAGAGCACACAGTTGTCTTTGGGTCTGCGTTACTTCCCTCAGTAAGATCGTTTCTAGTTCCCCATTTACCTGCAAAGTTCACGGTTCATTTTTCTTTGCAGCTGACTAGTATTCCATGGTGTGTGTGAATCACGTTCTCTTTATCCGTTTGTCAGTTTAGGACACTAGGTTGTTCCGTTTCCCAGCTTTTGTGATTAGAGCAGGAGTGGGAGGTCCTCTGGGCACACGCCAGGTCCTGGGTCCTCACGCCAGGGAGCAGTGGCCAGCTCATGTGGCAGGTTTCCTTCAGCTGCAGACTTCTCCACACAGTTTCCCGTCCCTCCAGGGGTCAAGGAGGGTCTCTCTTTCCTTGCATCTCCTCATTTTGTCAGTTTTACTGATCTTTGCCTTTTGACCAGGGTAAGAGGAGATATTTCTCGGTCATTTTCTTTTGTTCTGAGACCTCTCTGTTCAAGTCCCAGACTCACGTTTTGAATGGGTGGTGTGTGTCTTTTGACTGGTTTTTGAGTTGTGTGTTCTCGATGTTAACCTCTGTCAGATGCATAGCTGTGCAGCAGCTTTTCCGTCTTGGGAAGTCCCTCCTGTCACTTGTTGGCCAATAGTCCTGTTCAGGAGTCCTTTCCTACACCGACAGGCACTGCCTAGGTTTGCTTCTGGAATTGCAGGGTTTCGGGGTTAGGCCTTTGGTCCATTTGGAATTAGTTTTTGTGCAAGAACATTAGTTCCATGAATATGTCTAACTCTGCCAGAAAGGGAGTGCGAGAGGGAAATTTTCTCTTAGTTCTAATAACAGTTCAAAACTATGTTTAAAAAAATAGTTTATTCTAATATGGATATAACCTCACCAGTGTGTGCTCAGAGGGTGGCAGGAGGCTGGTCAAGGCTAGCTAGACTGGGCAGACAGATTATGAACTCTGATATGGTCAGTGTTGTTACGATTCACTGCATCAACAGCACATTGGTGGGTACTGTTGACGCAGCCAGACTCCAACAAGCCTGGCTTCCTCCTTCAGTGTGCTGCACGGAGTGAATGGAATCCTCAGCCATCCTTTTCCTTTTGCTAGGGCTTTTCCTTCCTTAATCGGTACCTGAGCATACGTGGACCTTGCCAGGAATCTTTCTACAATCTGGGCCGCGGCCTTCACCAACTGGGACTGGCTCACCTTGCGATCCACTATTACCAGAAGGCTCTGGCACTCCCTCCACTCGTGGTAGAGGTAATTGACACATGGTTTCCTTTATCTGTAGAGAAGTACGCTGTGCTGTGTACTGTGGTCTAGACACTGAGGCAAATTCTAGTGTGTAGTAAAATGTGTTTGGGGCCAGGTGTAGTGATACATGTTAACAATCTCATGGGAAACCAAGCAGGACCTCAAGCTGAAGGCCATCTCAGACTTCATGAAGATCTTGTCTCAGAATGTTTTTTTCTGTAATATATTTATCCTCAGGTTCAGCAGTAGGAAAATCTTTGACATCCTGGCCTTAAGATCTATCACCAACCTTTTGAACCTGCTCTGCACATGTGATTATGACCTTTAACCCTCTACAGTTATGCAGAGGCAGCTCCTGTGCTTTCCAGATAGGAGCTGGAAGTTGTGAATCCTGAATAGTGTACGCTGTTATTTTCCAAGTAGAACCACCACCTGTTTCATCAAAAACCAAACAAACCCTGCTTTGTATGTAGGGAGGTCACGTGATTGCAAGCATGCGTATACCGTGGAGTTCCGAGAACAACTTGGTGGGTTGGTCCTTGCCTTCTGTCGTGTCTGAGACAGAGCTGCTGTGCACACCAGGCTAGCTGGCCATGAGCTCCTGGGCGCCTCTCCGCAGCCCGGCTCCCTGCAGGCTCCCTGGTGTTACAGCTGTGCTGTTGCGCCTAACTTTCCTGAGTCCCGAGATCTGCACTCAGGTCCTCCTGCGTGCTCAGCGAGCACCGTCCATTCAGCCGTCTCCCCACCTCCTCCTACAGACAGCGGCCATTATTAAGAGAGTCTTTAAAGTTGAGCTGACACTTTAATTTCTGAAGCAAACTATGGGCAGCAGCCCACACTTTGGGCTCCATCAGTGAAAGTGAACTTTCAGCACGGCAGGGGAACTGCTGACAAGCCCTCAGTGGAGGCCACCGACCGCTCTGCAGTGCCATTCAGTGAGGCAGAATTGAAGTCTGCTGTGACTATTGGTTAGACAGTTGACGAAACCGTGACTATAAAAATTACCTGAATCAGTGTAGGTAGGTCCAAGGTATTCTGTTTTTAGTATTATATGAATTGAAATCATTCTGGAAAATGACAGAAGTTTGTCATCATGTTGACATGGTTGACAGTTGGAAATAAAATACTCATTCGTTTTTTCCTCCTAGGGCATAGAGGTTGACCAGTTGGACCTCCGAAGAGATATTGCCTACAACATGTCTCTCATCTATCAGGGCAGCGGGAACACTGCAATGGCTCAAAAGCTTTTGTACACCTATTGTGTCATATAACCGAGAAAGCTGCTGCGCGGACCAGTGTCTTCTGTGACACTATTGTTCTTGATGGTAAAAATGGTGCTGACATTACCGCTAGCTACCAGTATAACCGCAGCTTTGAGGCGGGAGGTATAGCTCAGCTGTGGAGTGCCTGTTTGTTTTGTATGCACAAGGCCCTACATTCAAGCCACAAGCCTTTGGAAACCCGAAACACTGCTTTTATCTCTGGAATATATACAGTGTTACCATTCCTGTGAAGATGTACATATTATCCTGTTATTTCCCCTTAGCATTCTATAATAAAATTATTCCCATGCAGAAATGGACACTCTAGCCTCTGCGTCAGGTGGAATTGAACATGATTTTTCCATTTAATGTCTGCTAACCTCCTGTGTAACAGGTGTTCCGACAAGTGCGGAGGATACTGAGAACAGACAGATGTGGTTTGTCCTCAAGGCATCACAGAGTGCACTACTCAGATAGCCAGCACTGAGTCCAAGTATTTACGTATGGATTTTCTGTGCTGTATTGAACCCAGGGCCTGTGCCATACTAAGCGAGCGCTTTAGCACTGAGCCACAGCCTCAGCCTGCAATTCTCAAAGTGTGACGTGTATTTCTTTAAGGGATATTTGCTGCTTTTCTGTGCAGTGTCGTCACCGTTCAGGTACACAGCAAAGGAGGTTGCTTACTAAAGGGAAAACAAATTTGGACTCTTACAGTAATAGAATTATTTACAGTCAACACCTAACAAAATTATTTAAGATGCTTCTCTGGCAGGAAGACAAATCATTGATTTACTTCACTTTCATCCGAGAGTATGTTAGTTTTGGAGTATAAGCCTTGGAAATGGATTTAATCTGAAGCACAGCACTCCAAGGCAAAAAAATACATTTGTTTCCCAGTGGAGAAAAGGAATGATCATGCTCCCCTGTACCGTGTTGTGCTCTCCAGTTCAGGGTCCCTAGCAGAGTACTAAAGACCGGGGAAGTTGGGTATATGGAATAAAGGGTTGATAAAGTTGAAAGATATTTACTTCATTACATGTCCTTGAATCTCAGATGAAAACATTTGCTAGATAGACTGTTGCTGTAATAACAGGATTTTAGTGCAGATGCTAATGTGTGGTTGATTCTAAAACACTTGTGAGAGGAAACGTGTTGAGACTGAAGGTTAAAATACAGTGGAAAAGCCGGGCGGTGGTGGTGTCGCACACCTTTAATCCCAGCACTCGGGAGGCAGAGGCAGGCGGATCTCTGTGAGTTCGAGGCCAGCCTGGTCTCCAAAGCGAGATCCAGGAAAGGCGCAAAGCTACACAGAGAAACCCTGTCTCGGAAAAAAAAAAAAATAAATAAAATAAATAAATAAATAAATAAATAAATAAATAAATAAATAAATAAATAAATAATAAATAAATACAGTGGAGACTTTGAGGAGGTCTTAGCACTCTGTACTGAACATACAGCTTTCCAGTGGGGAAGCAGAATTTGTGTGTAATTAGTAACACATCTTGTATTCTGTATATATCTACATATAAATAAATCCTTTTTTAATTTTGAATTTTGTGTGCATTGGTGTTTTGCCTGCATGTGTTTGTGTTTGAGGGTGTCAGAAGCCCTGGAACTGGAGATACGAACAATTGTGAGCTGCCATGTGGGTGCTGGGAATCGAACCTGGGTCCTCTAGAAGACCAGACAGTGCTCTTAACTGCTGAGCCATCTCTCCAGCCCCGTAAATTCTATTTTTATAGTTGAGATTTCACCTTTTTAAAAATTTCATTTCATGCCATTGAATAATAGTGAGAAAACTAATTGTGATTGATAAATTTAGGTCTTGGAATCCTGTCTGCGTTCTCGGTATGTAGCTTCTCATATGAACGGAGTTCTCTGGACGGTAAACTGAGGAAAGAGATTGGGACTCTGTCAGTAGCTACTTCAGTCAGCAGCTAACAGAATGATACATCCTACTGGGTAAGTCAGGGCTGCATCTCAGCTGATGGAGTACCTACCTGGTCGGCATGAGTTCAAGACTGGTGTGGTGGGCAGAATCCGTAGTTCCAGCCCGTGGAGGTAGAGGAGCAGTTCAGGGTCACTCTTGGCTATGACACGGAAGTTCAGAGCCAGCTTGGGTCACACGAGACTGTCTCAGAAGCAAGGAAATAAAGCAGTTGTTGGTGGGAACACAGAAAACTGATGTGACTGTTTACTTCTCACTTTTCCTGTCTCTTCAACTACATAGATGGAACGGCCTGGCTCCTCAGATCTGCTAAACAATATTGATGGAAACAAGTCAACAGTTTTCTAAGAAAAAATAATCTGTGTTGTGTGTTTCACATTTACAATCACACCTGGAGCTGGGAAAATGGCCCAGGGAAATTGCTTGCCAAGAGCACCCAGACACTCAGTCCTGATGGCGGTGTCCACCATGGTGGTGAAGTAGTCAGGGAGAGAGATGGGAGCTTGTGGGCCAGAGACCAGCCAGAGAGACCCTGCCTCAGCAATGTGGAAGGTGAGAACTAATTCCCAAAAGCTGTCCTCTGACCTGCATGCCTGCAAACACACACACACACACACACACACACACACACACACAGCCATTTTTGAATGCCACTGTCCTGGATGCTAAGTACTCTTGAGATACCTGACTTCTGATTTTGTGGAAGGCAAGCAACTAGTTGTTACTGTTCCCGCTCCAAAGAGGTTAAACATCCTGGCCAAGATTCATTAGCCCTGCCCAGAGAGATTCCTTCAGAGGAGTGTCTGTTCCCATTTAGAGTAGCAAAGACAATGAGTTTACCCTTCCATTCTTCTTCCTCTCCTCACTCTCCATGCCAGGTCTGTCAGCTTTCTTTCAATATACTCGCTTCTGCTGAATTCTTTCTGCTGCGTGGAGTATTGCTCCTACCCAGCCAAACAAGAATTTCCTTCTTCCTTCTTCCTTGGGAATGTGGGATTTGAACTGTAGCGCTCCTGCTTTGCAGCAGTGAGCCTGCTCTGTTGGGAGAGGAGAGGCTTGCACATCAAGAGGAGGTAGGAGTGGGAGTAACCCTGAGTTACTGCAGATGGTGCAGCTTCTCTGTTCATCTTAGGCGAGCCACAGTTCTCCTGAGTTCGTTCTGGTGATGTTGTTGGTTCTCTGGCTGTCTTACGGTTCTTATTGCTGTGAAGAGACATGACCACGGTAACTCTTACAAGGAAAACATTTCCTTGGGGTGGCTGGCTTACAGGTTCAGAGGTTCAGTCCATTATTATCATGGTGGGGAGTATGACAGCATGTGGGTAGATGTGGTGCTGGCTACATCTGGATTTGCAGGCCACAGGAAGTCAACTGACACACTTGGTGATACCCTGAGCATAGGAAACCTCAAAGCCCTCCCCGACAGTGACTTACTTCCTCCAACAAGACCACACCCACTCCAACAAAGCCACACCTCCCAATAGTGCCACTCCCTGTGAGATTATGGGGGCCAATTACAGTCAAACCTGCACAATGGCTTCCACAGTAATCCTTACTGTGGCTTGAATTTTTCTGTAGATTATACCAAAATCTAACCGAACCCTACCTTTTCATTTAACACTGTTGCTATATTTCACAAGGAGGCGTGTAGACAGCCAGAGACTGCCCCCTGATGGTGTCAGCGGTGTGGCTTGTTCAGCTCTGCTCATGGAGTATAATGCTGCAAGACCCTACGGTAGCGTCTGTTACTCAAACCAATAGCCGAGGCATCTGCTTGAAATGAGAAGTGGTTGATTTTGGCCCAGTTTTGGCCCCTGGTCACCAGGCTCATTTCTGGATCCAAACAATGGCAGAGTACGATACTTAAGCCCATGAAACCCAAACAGGGTAGAAAGCATGAAAACAAGGGAGTGAATGCCCATGATAGGTGAGGTAGGTAAAGAGAAACTAGAATTGAACCACCTCGGGGCCTGTAGTCCCCAGATCAACCCTTTTGTCATGACACAGCTGTAAGTTACAAGTTTTGAGGTAGTATAGAAGGAAAAAAAACCAATGAGCTGAAACTTGAGTGGGTTCTGTAAGCTACTTGAGGATGTGTCCCAGCATGATTCCAGCCAATGGACTTGGAGATGAAGTCCTCCTTAGGTGATTCCCTCCAGCCTTGAAAGGGGCACCAGGCCAGTGCTCGGGACGCCCCGAGGCTCAACATCTTTGGAAGGGTGGTGGAGTATTTGAGAAAGCCGTTTCTGGGCTGGACTGAGCTGCAGCCGCTGCTGCTTCAACCGTGCGGGGTGACCTGGCCTCACCGCTGCTTCAACCGTGCGGGGTGACCCGGCCTCACCGCTGCTTCAACCGTGTGGGGTGACCCGGCCCCACGCATGCACGTTGACGGTTGTTCTCGAACCGAGAGAAACTTGAGGTGATAAGGCCACTAGTTTAATTAACATCCACATTCGGAGACGTCAGATGTGCACACAGGAAGGCCAGACTGTAAAGTGCACAGACTGGGAACAGCTGAACCAGAGCCCTTGCCTACGATGTGTGAGGCTCTGGGTCCAACCACTTAGAACTATAAACAATAGTAATAATTATACACACTGGTGATTCAAGAATGCGCAGGGTCGAGAGTGAACTAAAAATGTAACTTAGAAATTTGCATTTGGACTTAAAAATCAGTTGTAAAACAAACTATAGGTAGCTTGTCAGTCATTTATTGGAAATCAAAGCTTTTGGAGTTTTTATGTCATCCATTTCAATATGACTTGACTGGGTGATTTTTTTTTTTTTTTTAAGTCAAATCTAATATTAGGCAGCTCTCACAAAGACAGGAAACTCAGTCTCCATTTTGGCCTGTTCCCTACGGGTAATCTCCAAAAAAATAGCTACCAGTTAGGGGGAGAGTTCTTAAAAACAAAACAGAGCATTCTAGAGGGAAATCAAGATGCCTGGTCTAGAAAATAGAAGCCTTAAGGAAGAAATGTTAGTTCTCAAACAGCCGAGGGAAGGTGTGTGGGAGAGGGGCCACTCTTTCTGGTTGAGTGGTCAGAATAAACAGCATCTCCCTTTATCAGTGTGTGTGAGAGGGTGTGGTGTGGTGTGGTGTGGTGTGTGTGTGTGTGTGTGTGTGTGTGTGTGTATGTGTGTGTGTGTGTGTGTGTGTATGTATTATGCATGTGTATACACATGGATGCATGTGGAGTCCAGAAGTTGATGTCTTCCTCTATTGCTTTCCACTTTTGAAAATCAAATTAGTTCTTTGACTGTTTCATCCACGTCTATTCTGATTCCTCTCCCCCATCTTCTCACATCTCCCTCCATTCCTTACAACCCTGCCCCCTTCCTACCAGTTCCTTTCCAGTAGTTTTGGTTTTA